CCAGGCCCAGGCGCCTCCAGCCGCCGCGCGGTGCTGGCTTGTTTATGAGTCAGCACGATTTTAGCTCCTTGAACGTTCGTGTTCTGGTTCTGTTTCTCTCGCAAACAGACTGCAAACTAGTCCTGGAAGCCATAAAAGAACATGCTGTTTCTTGTTGCAGGAGCCCGTCCCGTTAACTGACCGGTGAGGCCATAACTGACCGGTGAGGCCATACCCACCAGCAGAGCTGCTCGCGGGCTGTGGCCCCGCCCTGCGGCCCTGCAGGGAGCCCCCTCCTCTTTTCCAGCAGTTCCCAGTTTATTTGGGCGGTTGGGCCCGTCCATTCCATATGCTGGAAGAACTTGGGTGACACCTTGGAACTCAGAGTGTTTGCAGCAGGGGCTCCTGGGAGATGACTGAGGTTTGGAGCAGCAGCCAGACCCCTGTCTGGAGAGAGGACCAGCCGGCGGGAGAGCTGCTTCCAGCCCCAGCACTGCCTGCGCCCGCCGTGGAGCTGGGCAGCAAACGGGCATGGCCAAAGGCGTGTTCATGGCCACGCTGCAGGTCGCTGGACCAGTCTCAGCTCGGGTCTCCTTGCCGAGGTCCCGGGCCGCGAGGCCTGCTAGTGAGTTTCCAGTTTTCACGTTCTGCTGTGTGGCAACAGGGATACTTGGTTGTATTTATTGTTTTTAAGAAAAGAACGTTTTAGAAAGGGAACCCCTTCTTCCCCCCCCCCCCCCCCCCGAGAAAGGAGTTTGCCTCGAACTTGATCTTAGCACATGGAGGCAAAACACTTTCTTGGAGTTGACGCCCAGGCCAACTGCTGGCCCCTCCAGGCTGCCTGGGCCCTGGCCGGCCCCAAAGACCCTCACACACTGGGCCCCTACTGGGGGGCGGAGGGAGGAGCCCGGGCGGGCGCCGGGCGCCCCTGCTGTCCGGGACTCCGGGCGGGCGCTGCTCCCCGGCCCTGCTCAGCCGGACGGTGCTCAGAGACCCGGCTGACCTCCCTCCGCCCTCTGGCTGCGCGCTCTCCCTTCTGGGGCGCCACCCGCTACACTTCACAGGCTGCTTCTGTGTCCTGGGGAGTCCCGCAGGACACCGGGCCCTTCCGGCCTGACTGACCCCAGCTGCCTGTCACCCTGCGCCCCGCTTTCCCGGAATGACATGCCCGAAGGTTCCATGGCCAAGCCGGAGCCCGCTGCTCTAGAGTGCAGTTGACCCCCCATGCACTGAGGGGTGCGTCCCTGCACTCGGCCCCCGCTGCCCAGCTGCGTGTTTGAGACACCCCGAGGCTCTGCGTGGGCCCGCAACGCGGGCGGAGACCCTGGGGCCGCAGGACAAGGTGCCGGCGAGGTGCTGGTCACGTGGCGCAGCTGGGACCGCCGCACCTGCCCGGCCCTGGCCGTGTCCCGCGGGCGTCTGCAGCGCCATGGGGTGACCGCCTGAACTTCAGGCGGACAGTGGCGGCCTGTGGCCGTGGCGCACTGCTGTGGGGTATTCTTCACTGGGGCCAGACTATATTTTACATGTCCTGGCTACAGATGAGAGGGCAGCGATGGACGTCATTCCTCTGTGTTTCTCTGAGTTGGCGGAAGGTGCATCAGTGGCTGATGCTTTTTAGAGGCTCCCGAGAGGCTGCTGCTGGGAGCACATGTGCCCCAGAGTGGACGCCCCAGCGCCCACAACTCCCGTGGGTGGCGTGAGGAGGCACCCAGGTGGGCCCTGCAAGGCGAGGTGGGCTCAGTGGTCAGGAGCTGTGTGCATGGTGAGGGCTGGCCGGGAGCCCGGGAGGCCACTGGCCAGGCCGGCGGAGCCCCAGGGAGCCGGGGACTGGGTGCCGGCGGCAACAAACACCGTCCTGCCTGCAGGGACATGGGGGCAGACCCGGCCGGCCTGCCTCTGGGGGCGCCTCGCAGCAGTCAGGGCGTGCCAGAGAGATAGAACCAACACACGGGCGCGTGTGGCAAGGAGCCAGTGCGCCCCTTTGGGGCCGTCCAAGTCAGGGAGGGCCCAGTGGACCCGGCTGCCCGCAGGCAGGACTTCTTCCCAGCCAAACCCAGCTCTTTTCTTAAGGTCTTCAGCTGTCGCTCAGCTGCCCGCGGGTCCAGGATGACCCCCTGTGCGTCCAGCCTTCTCAGGGTGGGTGTGCAGAAATGCCTGGCACGGTGGGATGGCCGGCATGCCCTGGTGAGCCACGTGGGCGGCCTCCAGGCCGTTTCTTGGACAGGCAGGGTGTGCACCACACTGGACGCTGCCCAGGGCAGCCCTGGTGGCTTGACATGCTGGGTGCTGCCCACGGCGGGGCCGGATCCGACACCCAGACGCATGGCCTTGGTGCCACCAGCCCTCACACCACCAGCCCTCGGCGCCACGCTCCTGCCGTTGGCCCTGAGACCGGGGGCCCAGCGGAAGTGGACAGCGGCTTCATTTTGAGGTCGAGCATCACGGGAGGGGCTTACGCCAGGACCTAGACCGGCAAGCTCGCGCTCACAGGTCCTGGTGTCCAAGCTCGGACAGGTCTTTTCGGTCTGCTCCACCTCTCCAAATCTGAGCGCTGCTGTTTCCGCTGTGCCCTGAGGGCCTGGAGCTGGCCGTGCAGGTGCATTTCTGAGGAGGCCCGGGGCTGGGCCAGGGGCAGAGAAGGGCCTCTGACTATCAGTTGACCACCTTGTGGCCCCGTGCAATGCTTGAGCACGCTTTCTGGGTTGCTGGCTTTGAAGCTTGGGGATTGCTTTGACCTTTGTGGTCATTTGATTTATATTTTATTTTTGTATTATTATTTTATTAAACATTTATTTATTTATGCACACAGAACTGGAGTACAGGCCAGAGGTGCAGGGGTGGTGAAAAGATTCACCAGAGGCAGAATGGGGAGCAGGACAGGCAGATCCATGAAGTGAACGGCTGAGGGGAGCAGCGGGGACATGGGAGAGGCCTGCCGCGCCCTGGCCGGGGACCCTACTCATGCTGAAGGGGCTGCAGCTGGCTTCACAGAGCTGCGCTGGACTTCGTTGTGCCACCAGGGAGGGCCCTAATTTATATTTTAAAAATTGAAAAAATTTTTCCCTAAAGACATTTAAAAAAATTATTCATACAGAACTCGGATGCAAGCCAGAGGTGCAGAGGCAGAGTGGGGAGCAGGACAGGCAGATGGATGGCATCCACTGCTGAGGGGAGCAGCAGGGAGACAGGAGCGGTCTGCTGCGCCCTGTGGTCACTTGGGCGGAGATCAAACTTGCACTGAAGGGCTGCGGCCAGCTTGCGGTGCTGCGTCCCAACCCGCTGCGCCACCACAGAGGGCCCAAAAAGGGAAATATATTTTTTTAAGATTTATTTATTTATGCACACAGAACTGGGGTCCAGGCCAGAGATGTGGAGGGTGAGAGGCTTCACCAGAGACAGACAGGGGAGCAGAACAGGCCGACTGACCAAGTCCACTGCTGAGGGGAGCAGCGGGCGGGTCAGGAGAGGTCTGCTGCGTCATGTGGCCACCTCCGGGGCAGGCGGGGATCGAACTCAGTGGAAGCGGCTTTAGCTTCTCAGTGCTGTGCTTTAACCCTCTGCGCCCCCAGGGAGGGCCAATATTTTAAGAATTTTCTATACTAAAAAGTTCCAGGTCCTGGGGTCCCTTCAGAATATTTTGATTCCCGGGCCCTCCCTGGTGGCGCGAGGGATTAAAGCGCAGCACTGTGAAGCTGTCGCAGCCACTGCGGCCCGAGTTCGATCCCCAGCCGGGGGTGACCCCAGGGCGCAGCAGACCCCTCCTGTCTCCCCGCTGCCCCCTCTGCAGTGGGATTCAGTGGATCCGCCTTTTCTGCTCCCCGTTCTGTCTCTGGGGAGGCCTTCACCCTGCACCTCTGGCCTGCGCCCCAGTTCTTGTGTGCATAAGTAAATATATCTTTAAAGAAAAAAATATTTTGATTCCTGTATTGTTAAACTGAAAAAAAGATTTGAATAAGTAAGTCTGTTTATGGACTGGAAGATCCACTATTTTAAAGACATCCAGTCCCTCCCAGGCTGACCAAAGGATTTAACAAAATCCCAGTCCAAATCCTAGTATGTCTTCACAAAGAGAAGCTGACAAGTAGCTCTAACATTTGCAGGGGAATACAAGGACTTGGAACCCTCAAAACGGTCTTCAAAAACGGAGTCTGGGCACTCACCGCCCGACCGTGCCTCTCGAAAGCTGTGATCGCCACCCTGGTCTGGAGTGTGTGTGGCGGGCCGGGGGAGGGGGCTGAGTCCAGGAGGGCCAGAATGAGGGGCGCACATCCAGGGCCATTTGAGTCGTGACAGACACCCAAGGGAACCACCAGGGAAAGAGAAGCGGCCATGCCGGAGAGCTGGCGCCACAGACTCGCTCCCATCTCCTAGGGCCGTTCCAGCGCGAAGAGCAGGAACTAACTGCGCACCTACACGTTTACCCAAGAGGGGGAAAAGGCGCATTTACAAAAGGCTTGTGCCAGAGTGCTCGCGAGAGCTTGACTCACTGTAGCCCCAGATTGGAAACAACCATATGGCTGCTGCGACAGTGGAATACTACTCAGGCGTGAAAAGGGCGTGTCGCAAACGGGGTTGGAGAGTTCCTCGTTCCCCTTCCAGGTCCTTTGACGGGTTCCATGAGTACTGAAGTAACAGACTAACAACAGAAAAAAGTAACTTTAATGATGTATGTCTGAGGTCCCCCTAGATGGGGAAATGCCTGGCACACTGCTACTGTCCGAAGAATAACTGGCCCCGAGTGAGGGGCAGCGCGGCCCGCCGCACCCCGGGGGCCGCTGGCTGACTGCTTGCTGCACAGACGTGGCAGTTTCCCCCAGGCAAAGTGTGTCTATCGCTTGTCTTTTTATGGACCGTGTCTTCCGTCCTCACAGCAGTAGCGCGCTCCGGGGAAACCGCGTGTCCAGCCGAGTGAGGCCACACTGGTCCCGGCACGGAGCTCGGAGGGCCTAGGGCGCCCCCCCGCGGCTGTGCTGCCAGAAGGCCGCGGGGGGCGCTGGAGGCCCTCGGCATAGAGCTCACCTCTCGCGGGACTTCTCCCGCGGAGACCAGCTGGGTGCCCCGCAGGCCCCTTCCTGTCCAGCTGCTCTGTGAGCTTCAGGTAATCGATTCTCTTTCTGTCGCCAAGCAGCGTCCGCTGACGTCCAGGCCAGCCCCTGTGGCTCTGGGGATGGACCCGGGTGGTGGTCCAAGACCGAGACCTCACAGCGCTGTGGCTGCAGCGTCGTGGCTGCTGGGAGGTGGCCGCAGGCCGTGTGCAGATTGCAGACTGTGGGTCAAAGACCAGAGAAGCCTCTCGCTCTTCCGGAACCTTCTCCAGGCCTTGCGCACCAGCCTCAGGTGAGCGTGCGGGCTCCTGCTCCTTGCCAGCGGTGGCCCTCCTGGGTCCCCAGAGGACAGAGGCGCCTCCTCGGCTCCTGGGCCAGGAGGTGAGCGAGCCCTGCCTGCCGGACTCTGGCCCTGGCCGCCTCCTCTCGGGCGCCGTCCAGCTCCGGCGGGCACCGTGCATGAGGCCGAGCGCCGACGCGGCTGTCGGTGACGCAGCGCGTTGGGGGCGGGCGCCTGTGTCCAGTCTCGGGAAGGGAACAACTCGCGTCTGCGACACGGGGTCGGCCTTCCGCCGCCGAGGCATGGACACAGCTGGGGCAGGCGGGCCCTCGGCTCATCCACCCCATGGCAGCTGGCCGGGCGGGAAGCTGGCGCCGCAGCTGGGGCGCGCTGTGGGACCAAGCGGCTGGGCGCCGGGCCTGGCCGCCCCCGTCCCCACGGCCCAGACCCTCCGTGTGCCCGGTGCAGCGGCGCAGGTGGGTGGTGGCCCCGTCGCCTGCGGCGGGTGGCGCCCGCTGTGCTGCGGAGAGGGGACCGCAGTGCAGACCCCGAGCCCGCCAGTGGCAGCGGGAGCGGGGCGCGCTGACGCCTCCTTGGTGCCCCCACACCGGGCCCCCACGCAGGGCCAGGCCCGCTCCCCACCCCGAGGCTGCACAAACGGGACCCAGCCCCAGGCCCAGGCCGGCCCGTGGGGCAGCTGACTCGGGCAGTGAGCCCCTGGCTTTTTGGGGTGCTCTCGTGGCACCAGACACGTGGGGTACAACACGGGACCACACCGCTTGGCTGTGCCGCCTGTGTGTCCGCGGGAGCCAGGAGTGACTGGAGTAGGGCAGAGTCCAGGCTGGCTGGTGGCCCCAGGGGCTCTGGGGTCCCCTGGCGCGGAGGTCACTCTAGCTGTGAGCGCCCCGGCCCCGATGTGGAGGCACACAGGCGCCCCCGAGCCAGAGCCAGCGGCAGCTCTGCCGGGCTCCTGGGGTGCGGCCGCTCCTCCCAGGGAACCGACTGGGCGGGCGGGGAGCTGAAGGGGGTCAGCCAGGACATGGCGTGGAGACGCCACCGAGAAAGGCCGCCTTGGGAGGGTGGGCGCGGGGGAGCCGGGGGGCGTCCAGCCCCGCGGAGCCTTGGCCACTCGGGGACGGCGAAGAGCTGAGCCAGCCGCGGAGGAGACGCAGGCGCCAGGGCCCGGAAGGGGGTCGGGCACAGGCGGCTCATCCCACGTGGAAGCCAGAGGCCCCAGAACAAGGCAGGGGGGTCCTGGGGGACCGTGAGCTGCTGCCCTTTGGGAATCGGCCTGGACTGAACCTACAAGTGCCCGGTGGCATGGCAGCGCCCCCCCCCCCGGACAGCACAGCCCTGACCCCCCTCGCGCCACCCGGGAGACGCCAGGGCCCTGGATACAGGCGGCCGCTGTCCAGGGACGTGGCCCAGGCGGAGATGGGCAGCCATTTGCCCCAGAATGGACGAGCTCGAGGGCGTGGTGCCAGCGCGGAGTCGGCAGGGTGGAGGCCGGCGGGCAAGTGCCCGATGGCCAGGAGGTGGGGCAGACCCAGGACAGGAGAGACACGGGGACCGCGGGTGGGGCGGAGCCACGGGGGACGGGGATGGGGGCGGGAGGGGGGTGCCTGGGGCTGGGGGTGTGTTAGTGAGACGTGTGTGGGGCCGCTGTGGGGCGTACTTGCAGGGCGCCGGGTCGGGCACCCCGATGCTGAGGGCCTGGCCCTGGGAGCCGGGTCCCAGTGGCTGGGCTCCCCTGGCCCCATCTTCAGACAGGAGCCGAGAGGTCAGCGACCGGGGGGCAGACTCCGGAGCCCGGCCCTGAGAGGAGGAAGTGGAGGGGGGCAGCGGAGATGGGGGCCCCAGGGGTTCTCGGGGTGTTCGCGCCCAGAAGCCTCCTCCTGGCGGCTGTGACTTGCGGCGCTACTGCCCTGCTGTCCCCGGCTGACCCGTGTGCCTCCCAGCCTGGGGGCCGGGGCGGGGCCCTCCCTCCCTCCCTCTTGCACCCCTTCTCCGCCGTGTGCAGCCCACCCTTCGCCAGCTCTCCCGTGGCACGAGGCCTCGCTGCGCCCTCTGGCGGCCGTGGCCGGGAGCAGGAGCCGCCAGCCCGGGGTGGGCACAGGGGCCCAGGGAGGCTGCCAGTAGGGGCTGGGCAGAGGCGGCCGGTCCGCTGGGCCCGGCGCGGTGTCAGGAGCGGCGCGGACAGCGTCAGGCTGAGGCCGCGTTATTGAGAGTCCGCGAGGGACGGCTCCGCCGGCCCAGAGTTGTGCCGGGAGTGGAAACGGGTCTTTATGGGGTCAGGCTATTCCTGGAAGCTGCGTGGACGCGACTCGGTCTCTCCTGCCCAAGGGGTCTCCTGGAGTTGTTTTTTAAGAAATTTATTTATGATACAAGAACTGGGGTACAGGCCAGAGGCGGGGGTCTGGGGGCAGTGAGAGGACTCCCCTGAGGCAGAGTGGGGAGAGAACGGCCAGCGGGACCCACTGCCGGTGGCGGCGGGGAGTCGGCCGCTCCCTGGCCGGATGCAGCTCGCGCTGACGGCCGCCCAGCCCGCGCCGTGGAGGGGGGATGCTGGCAGCGCCATCGGACTCAGCTCAGGTTCCCCGGCTCCGTGTCGGGCCTGGGTGTGCCCTCCTCACCGGTCCGGTGGGCAGCGGCAGCGCGGCCGAGGGCCGAGACTTTTGGCAGGAGCCTGGAAGGACAGGTGTGGGGGCGGGGTGGGGC